ATAATCAATCAGCTGTGATATCTGCAAGTGTATGTAGGTACGATAATCCCCATTTTGATAGTCCTAGTTCAATGATCACAGATTGGAAGTTGCACAAGATGCAAGTCATCGTGGGCCTGTGTATGTGTGTGTGTGTGTCTGTGTTCTGAGTGCATCTTACCTGGAGTTTTCAACTCGTGAACCAGAGGAACTAGGAAGCTGAAATTTTAAGGAAGGGTGCTCTACCCGCATGTGATTTTGCAAATTCAAAAACAGCGTTCGCGTACACCTAAAGTTCACATGCGACGATGTGGAAGTTTTAACACCCAAATTAATAACTCAGAAGACACAAATGCAAGGAAGCTGCAATTTTACGAAGATTTTCTTGGGCCGTATTTGACCCCGTAAAGTTAAATTCAGCATTCGCGTGCGCTTACGTCTCACGAAGGAACATGTGAAAGTTTTGGTGTGAAAATCATTAATTCAGGAACCAGAAAGGCTAGGAAGCTGAAATTTTAGGAGGATGTGCCTACACACACATGAGCCCGCAAACCCAAACTCAGCTCCCAGCCTCTCCTCCGTATCCTTAGATCTCACGTGGGAACACGTGAAATTTCTGGTGCCAAGTTCAATAATTCGAAAACCACCAAAGCTAAAAAGCTGAAATTTCAGAATAATGCTCCTGCTCGCACTTAAATTCAACTCCTGTGTACATCGAAATTTCAGGTGTGGATAAGTGAAAGCTTCGGCGCCAAAATTAGTAGCTTAAGAACCACAAAAATTTCTGCATTTATCAACCAGTAATGAAAAAAGTAGTGACAGCAAAATTCTTCTGGATAGAACTGCAGAAGCGTCAGCTGCACAAATTTGCACAAAGCGCATGATCGCATCGGCTACCCTGGTACGTGCCGCTATTTTTTGAAAAAGGCATGGTCAGTCAACAGTTTAAATGTCTTACGGAGGTTATACAACCAAAGAATTTATTTTTTATTCCTTCTGCTGTAGTTCTATTTCAAATATTCAGGTCGTATTCTGTCACTTCCAGTTCCCAATTTGATATTAAAAAATGCCAATTGGTCAGATCTCCTTGTGAATGCATCGGCGCCTGTGGGGGCTTCTGTGCAGTTCCTAACATCCTCTTCCATTCCTTCTCCTATGAGTGATGGCTGTGATGGAAGAAATCTGGGAGAGCTCGCAACAGGTTAAATAAAGAAACACACAGCACACAATCGAGAATGTGGCACATCTAGCATTTCTTTTTGGAACCCAGGCTGGAACGCACCAGGCGGGCCGGTGCGATTATGCGTTTTTGCACTTTTCGTACCGT